CAAGATAATCGGATAAATTCTAAGATATTCGATTTAAAAATTATGAACATTAATTTCTTTATAACCCTTCTTGTATGTTGTGGGTAGTAGATAGTGCCCGGTCGATGAGTGTGTGTGTGAGTGTTGCTCTACTAGCGCCCTCTGAAGGAAATCTATTGTCAAATATGGTAGAACCCAGTAGTGTCGTAGTGTGAGGGCAGACCGTGGGGTGATGGTGAAGTAGTTATTGTGAGTGATGCCTAGTGGGAAGGAATGGAAGTTAGTGTGTGTGAGTGTGCTCGTTAGCATAGGTTATGGTTAGTGAAAAAAAACACTTGTTGCCTGTAGAGGGAACATGTGCAAAATGATGAGATGTTGTGTGTTGTATGTGCCCATGTGATGGAGGTGTGTGTGAGTGGGCCGTGTTGAGAATCGTGTCGATGCTGATGTGTGATGTTGTGCCCTAGTCGATGGAGTGCTAGTGCAAGTGTGTGTTTTGTGCCTTGAGTCGGTTGGCAGATTTGTCGGAGCAGTGCCTTGTAGTGATAAGGTCTTGCGTATAGTGGTCTTTAGTGAGTAGGGCTCACTCATCAAAATGATGATTGGAGGTTTGATGTGTATTAAGTTTTCATGGTAGTCACAAATCTGAAGCTTTTTTCAGCATTACCAATTCACTGTCCTTTATCCTATTCCTTCACAGCTGATCAAAATCTACTCAAATTGTATGCATTGCATTCTTCTTTGTGAGTGTTAACCGTGTGCAGTGTGAGTCACTGTTGGAGGGGAGATCGAGCCAGTAAATATTGTGTGGTTGGGTCGGTCTCTGTGACTGGAGTGTGTGTTTCCTGTGAATGTGTGTGGTGTTTGTGTGCCCGTGATGAGTGTGTGTGTGAGTGTGCCATGTAATGGGTGTGTGTGATGCCTGTGATGGTGTGGGTGTGTGGTTGAGTCGTCTGCATTTCTTCAGGAATCCTGGTTGTTTAAAAACAGTGATCGGCATGTGATTTGGACTTGTGAAATGGTAAGTAAGTGTGTGCCCAATAGTCCACCATTATTTGATGCTTTACTTCTCTAGCATACTTTAGGAAACCTTGTGTGTGATGTCATCCCTGGATGGAGTGTCGTGCTGTGTGTGAGTTGTTCCTCTGTTCCGAGTACTGGATAGAGATGTGTGTGAGATTTGCCCTGGTGAATTAGTGTGTGTATGTTTAGGAAGTGTTGCCATGTATCGATGAGTAGCTGCTGTTTGTTTGTCCATCCGCCATCGCTCTCACCCTAGTAGCTGTGTGATGGTTTTAGGTCGAGTTGCTGATAAGAGATGGAGTGTTGATAGTGGAAAGGTCACACAAACACTGCTGACTGAATTATACTGCCAATGTGCTGGTGGAGTGTTTGATCCTATGCTCTATAACTTGGTGATAGGCTTGTCTGTGTGGGTTAGTGTGCCCTCTGCTTGCATGGTAGTGTGTGTGTTGATTGTGCCTGTTCGCTCGATGTTGTGAGTACGCTGTGTGTGTTTGATGCCTCGATGATGATCAAGTGTGTGCATCCTTTGTAGTGGGATCGTTCAAAAATCTCCACTGATGTATTATTAAAATGCCTATACATATTTCTTGCAGTATGGGACCATTTTTTCTACTCTGGTGGCTCTTGTTTATTCATTCCAACATTTTAATTCCCTCCTACATCATTCATGGTTGCTTTAGCTTTATCCATAATTCTTTTAAGTCCACCATAATGTCAACAATCTGCCCATGAGTGTTCGAGAGTGCATACCTCAGCTGTTGAGAATGGAAACCTCCCTATGGTGCCGCTGTATTTTATGAAGGATTTGAATGGTGCGCTGCTTGCATGTGTGTGTAGTGTGATGGCATCCTGTGATGGTTGATGTTTGTTGTGAGACTTATTTTTCTGACCTGTAGATTGGGAGTGTAGTTTGTAGTGTGCGAATTCTGTACCCTCGTTCAGATTGGATGCTAGTAGATAGATGTTGTCGCTAAGTTTGATGAGATCGTGCATGTGTGTGTTGAGTACTATGCTAAATAACTCTTCTATTTCTTTCTCTTTTTGCTGGAATTGAATTGGGAAACCCGAACAGGTTTACTCTATTGTATATTCTTAATATATACGGGCTTTTCTTATTGTTCTCATTGTCCATGGAAAAGGTTGGTCAGTTACAGATTTATTCATCCCTTAAAAATAATGTGGTTAAAATATTGCCTGAAATAACTGTCTGGGGCCTGCTTTTTATTGAGACTGGGAGATGGTGAGCATGGATGCTATTGGATACTTCTTGTTGGCAAAATTTTTGAGTTGTGTGTGTTGCTGCACTTGATTTGGGTGTAGTGGTGTGATGTTGGCCTGTGAATGGTGATGTGTTGTAGTGGTGTATCGACACTGTGATTAGAGTGTTGTAACTTATTTAATGAAAGTCCAACTGTGATAACGTTATGTTTTTTTTTTCTCAAAAAAACAACTGTTCATTACAGCAAGCTTCAATTATATGGGGTGTATAGATGTGTGTTCGTCCTGTGATGGGTCGGAGGTTGAGTTATTGCTCTCCTGTGTATGGATGTAGTTGTGGTTGTGCTTGTGATGGAGTGTGTAGTGGAGTGCTAGGATTGAGTTCTGTGTGTGTTGCTAGTGTGCCCTATGATGGAGTGCGAGGTCGCGTATGTAGACTGAGAATGGATGGGTATGTTGCAGTGACTCCTCTATTCTTCCTCTCATCTATTTT